TTATTTATTTAGTCATATAGCAGACGCTTTTATCCAAAGTAAAATATATTTACAAAATAAACACGTGCTTGATTGTTATGCAAACAATGTCACGATGCAACCAATCCTAATAATGCTAAAAACAGGATTATAATCATTTCTACTCCAATGTAATTTTGCTCAGGTTCTCGGCAGGTGAGGCGAGTCACATGACGCACCTGAAGGCCATTCCCTGCAGTCTGAGCCACACTTCCCCTCTGTAGAAGCGCAGCGTGTGTTTCTGTCCCATGCTCTCGGTGACGTAGAACAGCGCTTTGACCAAACCCATCACGTAACCGCTCAACATCCAGCCCAGAAACTGCCCGCAGATCCACTCTCTGTAGCGGTGCTCGCTCGCGCACGGACCTGCGGCGCCAGCCAGTCACGATTATCAGATTATTCTACTTTCAGTGACACACGATTACAGTGTTTAGTAGATAGCAGATTTCATATGTTCCATGTTCATTGTAAAGTTCAGTAACTTTGTTGGGTTTTTGTTAAAAAAAATTAAATTAGATTAATTTTTAAGTCCGTTTTAGTTAAGTTCTTCAAATATATCAAAATTAAACGTTTTTTCAGTTAACATTTATTTTATTAGTAAAAATTTATTTCAGTTTTATTGTAGTTTACTACAGTAACCTTGTATTTGTGAGACCATCTGATGGATATAATACCAGTGTTATTTTAGCATCACTGATATATTACTATAGATTTATGAATATTTAGATCATTATTTTCATTTTAGTTAAAAGTTTTAATACATATTTCCTGTGTATTTTTGTCTGTTATTATTACTATTGTTTATTTTATATATTTTTATTATATTTTATGTCTACATATTTTTTATTCACATAACCTTATGTTATTTTAGCTCTTCAACTCCAATTAAAAATTAAAAATGTTTCCTTGGCAAGTAGCTGAAATAAAATAAGTTCCTAAAATTATTATTTTTAAATTTTTAATTCAGTTAACATTTATTTTATTTCAAGTAAAGTGTTTTATTAGTATAAATGGTATATTATTATAGTTTTACATTTTAATTTCAGGTTAAAGTTTTATTGTTTTTTTCTTCATTTTAATGTCAGTTTTAGCCATTTTAGAAATTCGACGTCAACAAAAATGAAAAACGCTGCGTTAGAAAATAGCTCAAATAAAACAAGTTTAATGATTTTTTTTTAATATAGTTTTTTTTCTTTTTGTGTTTATGTCAGTTATGATTTATTTTAAGTAATGTATTTTTATTAGTTAACTATACTAAGCTTGTATTTGAGACCGGACCATCAGATGTTATTTTAGCATCATTTATATACTATTGTAATTTTTGTTAATATTTTTAATTCATATTTATATTTTCTGCTTTCATTTTAATTTTAGTTCAAGATTTAGTCATTCTGTTTGCCATTACTATTTATTTTTTAATTGTAGTTATTAGATTTGTATGAGATGTTGAAAATTAGATGTTGCCTTGGCAACTAGCTGAAATAAAATTTTGTATATTATTTCAGTTAATTTCATTTAAGAATGACATTATGGTTTTAGTTTTAATTAACGATATTAATCCTGATTTATATATAAACAAATAAAAATAATAATAATTTTTAAAAAATCCAATCTGCTTGGCTTCAAACAACCAAAGTTACGAAACAGAGAATAAAGGCATTAAAGACGCACGTTTCTTGAGCCCCAGCCAATGGCAGGCCTTGACCTTCGTCTTCCACACCAGCTGGACCAATGGGAGACGCTCAAACTTCCCAAGACGCAGGAAGTTCTTCACGTTGGACAGGAAGTGGAGCTGGTTTTCCTGTGACCCCCAGAGTTCCTCGGGAACAACGTATCGCAAACACTCCCTCACAAACAGATACACCCTGTAAGGCGACAAGTGCGACTTCAGCAGCGACTCCATATCCTCCGTCTCTGGATTCGCCGAGCACTTCCTGCGCAGGAAGAGAGCATACGGGCACTTCCTGTGCTGCCGCAAGAGCCGCGCGAACAAGGGAACCATTGCGAAGAAACGCTTGGGAAGCTTTCTAAACTTGGCCTGTCCGTCAAACACGTTGGACTCTGATTGGAGGAAAATGATGCGCACGAGATCCGCCCCCTGCAGCCGTCTAGCCCCGCCCACACCTGCTTTCATCTTCCTGTTTAGCAGGAAGCCCTTCAAGCCCCGCCCACCGTAAAGCATACTCAAAACGCGGATGGAACAGCGCGACGGTCGCGGAGGAGGCTGATCCGCCGGTTTCCAGCTCCGCGATCCGTGACTTTCAGGGTTTCGCGCATTTAACGAACCGTCGGTTTCGTCCATCGTAAGCCGTCGCTTCTTTACTACCGGACGATCTTCCCGTTTGTCGTCCATTTCCTCCGCTCTCGCTCTCTTTTTTTTCGAAACTATTTTCTTATCATCCCTCGCGACTTTCTTCCGCGCGACGCCGACGGGAGTCTTCCGCGTCACGCCGTACGACGTTTGAGTCGCGCCGTGGTCCAGGAAGAATCCGGACCAGGTGCGCGGCAGCAGAAGATCGTACACGGGCTCGCCGCACACCTGCAGCAAACAGGACGGCGGGACGGTGGCGAAGATTGCGCAATCCTGCAGCAGGTATCGCGTGACTTCTGTTCCCAGACGCTGGTTGATCCGCTTCCACAGCTCGCTGGTGCTGATGGAGGCGGCCGTCTGCGAAACGTCGCCGTGGAAACGGAAGGGGTCCGAACAGGCCGCCACGCTGCTGCACTGATAGCCGAATCCCAGCACGTTCCTCAGCTTCTTCCGCTTGATGTGGTTTAGCGTGAACGCTAAAACCTCCGGCAGCGTGCTGAGCTGAAATCAAACATTGAACGAATTCTTACGGCCATTTTTTATGTTTAAATATTTGTTTTCTTTTAACAATTTTTACTAAATTAGACCAAAACTAACATAGAACATTGTATAGAAACTATGTTTCTGCCACAGAATAAAAAAACAAATTAAAATACTAAAAAGTAATTGCAACTTTTTAATCTCACAATTCGGACATTGTTCAAAGAAAGATATAAACACAGAATTC